ATTGATCCAAATTTCTCAATTTCACCAACACAATTAAACTTTCACAACATGGATCTGTGACATCACTGCACAAGCAAATTAGATCGGTTTTACTACGTGTTTTCGTGATTTATGTCGTTTGTCCACATATTATACCATGGTCCAACTTTCCATTCCAAGTAATCATAGTAACTGGAATTTATTCAGTGGCCCGCCAAACTCAATGTAACGATTCTTCTCTTTCTGACATGCAGTTACTGCCCTCAACACGCTGTTTACCAGTATGAATTCGCCAGGACAGCTGCAGGGCTGGAAGGTGAGTGGTGGTGACCCATGCGCCGAATCGTGGCAGGGCATCACTTGCTCTGGATCCTCTGTTACTGCAATGTGAGCGAGCTTTGCATAATCCACTGTACTTGCTTCCAAGCTTTGTTTACTGTTTGTGCCTTTTCTAATATGTTTGTCATGGTTGCCCTAATAGTAAATTGCCAAACTTGGGTCTCTCGGGAAATCTGGTCTACAGCATGAACACCATGGATTCACTAGTTGAGCTGTGAGTTTCATTCATGTTTCTCTCTTGCAATGCTGTTCTGTGTCTAGCAGTTTTACTAGTTCTGACTAGGCTGATCCCAATTTATTGCAGAGACATGAGCCACAACAATCTCGGTGGTGGCCAACAGATTCCATACAATCTTCCAAATAAGAAGCTTGAAAGACTGTAAGTCTTTAGATGCAGGCATGTATAATCTTTTCCATCTCATGATATGCCATCTGAGTGAACTGTTGATTTGCAGCAATCTGGCAGGAAACCAGTTCTCTGGAGCTGTGCCATACTCAATTTCCACGATGCCTAAACTGAAGTACCTGTGAGTACATTTTCTCTTTACCAAAAACTGGATTTGCATTAAATTCTATGTTCATGTTTGAAGGGCTAATGGATTTTTCTATGTATATATAGAAACTTCAATCATAACCAGCTATCAGGAGATATCACTGACATATTTTCCAACCTCCCAAGTTTAACCACAGTGTGAGTGTTTCCTCTTTCATTTTTTTTTCTCTTCTTGTTGACATGTCCATCATACGCTTCATCGATTATCTTTTTGGTGAAATTGTTTCAGAGACCTTTCCTCCAATTCTCTTACTGGCAATCTACCACAAAGTTTCACATCTTTGTCAAGCCTGAAAACACTGTAAGAAAGATGGTCGATTAATTGAATTTGATCTTCTTTTTTGCTGTTGTCCCTGTTAAGCTTTAATCCATGTCACAATTCTTCACAGGTATTTGCAGAACAATCAACTTACTGGTTCAATCAATGTACTTGCGAATCTTCCCCTTGATGATCTGTGAGTAAATCAATTTGCAATGCATAAACGGCATGTTTTGCATACTTTGCACTGCATTTGGTTCTGATTATTTATGTGCAGGAATGTTGCAAACAACCACTTCACTGGTTGGATTCCTAATGAGTTAAAGAAGATAAATAGTCTGCAGTATGTACTATTGAACTCTTGGTTTTATGATGATGTGGAGGGCTGTGGCTTCAACTAATGATGTGGCTGTTTACAGAACTGATGGTAACTCTTGGAGCACAGGCCCAGCACCACCACCACCACCATTTACAGCTCCTCCACAAGCGCGCAACCGTCGAAAGAGCCCAGGCCAGCGCTCCAATGGAAGTAACAACTCGAGTTCAGGTGGAAGCTCTGGCATAGGTGCTGGAGCCATAGCAGGCATTATCATATCTGTTCTTGTTGTTGGAGCAGTTGTTGCATTCTTCCTGATAAAGAGAAATCAACGAAAAGGTGCAATGCCAGAACACTATGAACAACACCAGCCGTTCAATTCATTCCCTTCAAATGAAGTTAAAAGTGAGTTTATATGATACTCTGTATTCCTAAATAGACGCTTTGGTTTATAGTGTGATAGGATGATGTCTGTACGGTTCTGCAACCTTGTAGATATGAAGCCTATTGAAGAGGCTACCACTGTAGAGGTGGAGTCTTTGCCTTCTCCTGCTGCAGTTAACCTGAAACCACCTCCCAAGATTGAGCAGAATCAATCATTTGATGATGATGATTTTGCAAACAAGCCTGTTGCCAAGAAAAGTAATGAAGCACCAGTTAAGGCAACTATTTATTCAGTTGCTGACCTACAGATGGCAACAGATAGCTTCAACATGGACAACCTTATTGGAGAGGGTACTTTCGGACGTGTGTACAGAGCACAATTCAGTGATGGAAAGGTAAAGAACTATAAGTTATCCATATTGATTTATTCATTTCTTTTGAAAAGAAATAAAAAAGGAAAGGGCAGACCCAGTGTCAGAGGCTCCCACATGAGTGGGGTCTGGGGAAGGGAAAAACCGAGGCAAGCCTTCCCCCCGCAAAATCTGCGGAGAGACTGCTTCGAACCCGTGACCTGGTGACTCAGTGAGACAGCTCTCACCACTGCACCAGGCCTGCCCTTCTTCTTTTGAAAAGAAATATTAGACTAAAATCTATTAGATCAGTTGTGCAAATGAAAATTTGGAGCCTAATGCTCCCTACTAGTTCAGCTTTCCTGTCATATTATTTTACTTGTTTTTTGCATGCTACCAAATATTTTGGTTATGTAATGCGGTTCGGGACTATATGATATAGCTTACCTTTTTCTTTTTACATGAATTAGGTTCTAGCTGTGAAGAAATTAAATAGTACAGCACTGCCAAGGCAATCATCAGATGATTTCTATGAGCTGGTGTCGAACATTTCAAAGTTGCACCATCCCAATCTCAGTGAGCTTGTGGGCTACTGCATGGAGCATGGACAGCACTTGCTTATTTATGATTTCCACAGGAATGGTTCACTGCATGATATGCTCCATCTCTCAGATGATTATAACAAGCCACTCAGTTGGAATTGTCGTGTCAAGATTGTGTTGGGCTCTGCACGTGTACTAGAGTAAGCGACTCTGATCTCTCTCTCTCTCTCCGCTTTATGCAATTATGATGATAGAAATTTGGTAAAAAATAGTTGATCGAATTCTTTTTGGTGAATGAAACTCTACTGCTAAGCACCTCAACATTTACTCTACTTACCTTCGTGTAGGTTTCTTCATGAAATTTGTTCTCCATCTATAATTCACAAGAACTTTAAGTCGTCCAATATTTTACTGGACACCGAGCTCAACCCTCATATTTCTGATGCTGGGCATTCAAGTTTTGTTCCAGATGCTGAGTTCCAGGTAAAGTTAGGCAAATTTTCTCCAAGAAATATGTGGTAAAAAAACCCTAGTCCATGCTGAATTTGTTATTGCTCCCGGACTTAAGATGTTGGGTATATGAGCTTGCATAGTCATTAAAGAATCCAAACGAATTATCTGGTGATTCGAAACAGTGGAAGATATAATTGCTCTGAAATGATTTACATCACATCTCACTGACAAGTTCTATTCTTCATTTTGCTTCAAAACGGAACATCTGCAGGCTTCAGATCAGGGTTCTGGTTATGGTGCCCCTGAGGTGGACATGTCCGGTCACTATACCCTCAAGAGTGATGTCTACAGCTTTGGAGTCGTCATGCTGGAACTCTTGACGGGCCGTAAACCATTTGACAGGTATGCCTATCATCACTAGATGCCAGCACTGCATTAACGCGTTGTCCAGGCAGTGATTTCTGGTGATCTGACTATATTTCATAACATCATCGCAGCTCTAGGCCCCGGTCAGAGCAATCACTTGTCCGGTGGGCAACTCCCCAGCTGCATGACATCGACGCCTTGGACCAGATGGTTGATCCAGCGCTCAAGGGTCTTTACCCCGCCAAATCCCTCTCCCGTTTTGCCGATGTTGTTGCTCTGTGTGTCCAGGTATGAACTTCAATCCCCACATACCACGCAGTTAGTACATGTATACATCAAAATACTAGCCTTGTGAACCAAAACCTTTGCTGGTGCAGCCTGAGCCAGAGTTCAGGCCTCCAATGTCTGAGGTGGTGCAAGCGTTGGTGCGTCTTGTTCAGAGGGCCAACATGACCAGGAGAATGATCGATGGTGAGGAGGCTTCTCGGAGGCCGGACGACCAGGAACAGGAATTCGTCTAACAAGCTAGTGAAACAGTGCACACATCATGTTCTGAACCTGGACCATCTTAATGTTGTGACTTTTTGCTCCCCCCCCCCACCAAAAAAAAAAACGTAATGCAGAGAAAAAGTAGGGGAAGGACAGTCTCGACCCCATTCAGTACATATCACAGGTTTTATTTCGTGTAATGAAATATATATGTTATACCTCTGGTGTGCCTAATGCAAAACGTCTAAGGCCCTGTTTGGAAGCCCTGTATTTGGTCCAAAACCTCTGTAAATTACAGGTCCTAATTATTTTCCGACACAAATCAGATTTCACTGTTTGGATGACCGGTGAGCCCACTTATTTTACATCCGGTTTAGCACAGAACCGTTGGAAAAAAAAAATTATCGTCTCCTCAGGTCCGCAAAAAATTACGATAACCATAGGGCTCCCCTCCGCTCGCCGCTCGGTGCCGACTGTCGAGGGGCGAAGGTTTCTTGTGGGGCGCCCAACCCCGGAGTCGCACCGCCACCCACCTCACCTCGTCCGCTCGTCCCTCCCCCTCCCCCAACCAATCCTCGACGACCCCTCACCTCGCCGCCAGAGCCGACGGAGGCCTCAAGCGAGCGTGCGAGCCTGATCTACGATGTGATCCGCGGCAAGGGTGCGCCGGGCAAGAGACGTCGAGATCGATGACGGGCTAGGTTCCACTCGGACGGCGCGAGTGAGGACAGTCTACCTGAGGTGGGGATCGACGGCGGAGAGCTGCCAGGGCGCTGGGTTCACCAAGACTGCTCTGCGGGCGGCAATGGTAGCTGGGAAGAGACGATGCGCCAATGTCACTGACCCAATGGCTATTGGTCTGAGTGGCGGCTCAGTGGTATAGAGGAGAGGCTAAGCGAGATGCATACGCAAGGAATCGATGGATGGGTGCTCAGGCTGCTCGAATTTGGTCCGCGGAGCTTGGGCAGTAATGGCGGCTGGAGCTTGGTTTCTTTGGCATGGTGCCCCTAGCTTCGGTGGAGTCCAACAAGGACTGCTCGGGAAGGTAGCAGATGAGGCAGTGAGTCATCAAACACTAGCAATCGTGGGATGGCAGCCTGGCCTGGAGGCCGTAAACGATCGTGGATTATTTACTGTTGACTGATTTGGTGTGAGAGAAAACCACTGTTCTTGACTGAAAATTTACGATCGTTTATGAGCCAGCGAACAGGCTATTGTCAGCAAATTTGGCTGTCGGCAAGCGAGTGTGTGTGTACGAAGTCGGCAGGCAAGTGTGTGTACGAAGTCTGACACTGCTTCCTCCCTCACATTCGAGGACTCGGATCTGCAACACATCCTTCAAGCATTTCAAGGAGCACAAAAGGGCTTCCCCTACCGCTACCTTGGCCTCCAACTTCACATTCATGCACTATAAAAAATCCATGTGCAACTACTCATCGAAAAAAAACAGCAAACTGACTTCTCGGATGGAAAGAAATATTACCTAATCGTGTTTGGAGACACACCCTCGTGACTTCGGTTCTCTTTTCCATACCAACTTACCACCTGACTATCTTCCCACTTATCGCCTGGGCAAAAAAGCAAATAGACAAGATTCGACGCTCATTCCTTTAGAAAGGAGAGGAGATTGTCAATGGGAGCACTGCCCGGTAATCTGGGCAACAGTATACATGACTAAAGATTTAGGAGGCCTTGGCATGGTAGATTTAGACAAATTTAGTAGATCCCTATGGCTCCGGTGGAGCAGAACAATCTCAAACATGCCCTTAACATGCGGTTGCCTTTTGTTTAGGACCCGTAAGGCAGAGGTCTACTGTTATAAAGAGGCTTAAGCAAGATTTGTTCTCATTATCTAGAGAAGACTTAAGGCTAGTGTGAGCCATCATAGGATACACCTATACGTGCCACACCTACTATTAAATACCACAAGAGGTTTTGGTGGGATAAGGATCTTCACTATTGTAGGAGTAATAAAATAATAACATTTAATATTATACTCGTTCGATAACTATTTCTTAGGCCTTGTTTAGTTTGTAAAATTTTTGACGAAATAGTACTGTAGCACTTTCGTTGTTATTTGATAATTAGTGTCCAATCATGGTCTAATTAGGTTTAAAAGTTTCGTCTCGTGAATTTCGTCTAAACTATGTAATTAATTTTATTTTTTATTTATATTTAATGCTTCATGCATGCGTCCAAGATTCAATGTGACGAAAAATTTTAGAAATTTTTACAAAATGAAGTGGAACTAAACGGGGTCCTATTTTAACTCGGACAGGCGGCGGACTTTGAGGGGAGAGGGCCCTGCTCGGCCAGCGTGGTTCGCCTGTCATGGACTGACGTCATCCCAGACGCAGATCTTTCCGCGCAGACTGGGCAAACTCTCACGGGCCCCGCGTGGCAGCCTCTGATGCCAGTAGAAAAATATCGGGACCGAGATATTTTCCACCCGGAGCGCCCCACGCCGCCACGTCACCGAAAAGCCCGGAGGGCATTGGAGCCCACCGCGGCTCTCCCAGTCCCCCCCAACCTGCACACACTGACACCCCCCGGACCAGCCGAGATGTATCTGCTCTCCCTCTTCGCTTTGGCTTCCGCTTCCCCCTTCCCTGTCGCGTCTCTTCTATACACCACGCTGCTGTGTTGGAGTTCAGTTTGCATCCTGAGCTGTGAGCTCTCTCTCCATCTCTGTCCCGGACCAGCCGAGCCGGGATTTCTTCTCTCTTTGCGTATCTCTGCTTCTTCTTCGTCGTCGAGGAGCTGTTCCTTCTCTTTGCCACCTCAAATCTGGGGGGAAATATCTTGGGTTCGTTCGCCCCGGACTGGTTTTCTGAAGAGAATCCCTGCTGTGGTGCTGTGCACTGGTTGTTCTCTGCTGATTCTGTTTCTTTGTCGCCCGATTTTCGCCGATTGATATCTCGTATATCGATCTGGTAGGCAGGTCCTTTCTCTCCTTCCATTTTGGTTGTTTCTTTTTTCGGGAATGAGGACAAACAGGGAGAGAACTTATAATCCCTAGATTGCCCTGTTTCTTGAGAGGTGTCAAATCCAATGGGAGGTGTGTCGTTGAACCAGCCGTTGATCAACGACGACCCGCTGCCCCTGCCCCTGCCCGGCAGTATCGCCAAGGTGCGGTTATGTTATGTTCATTCTCGATGAAGAGTTTCTACTTTGTTTTATATACACCTCTAAATAATTTCATATTGCGTACAATATTCTTCGGTAATTATTTATTGGATACGAGGGCAGTAAATTTCTTGGTGCTTATTATATGCAAACATTTTCAGTTTTTAAAAAATATTATAGAACTGAAGAGTCAATAGGATGTTCAGGAAATTTTCTTCAGGAGCTCATCTCCTGCTATGGAACATCAAATTCAAACTAAAGAAAGAACCAATGTGGTCTTGAATTGCTCTTGCATATATAACTGTAGATGCAACATGTACCATCTGTCAACTTTTCTTTCAGGACTCTCTTTTACTACTAACACTACTGTAGTCCGGTAACCTTTATCTTGTATGGGATTTTTAGACTCCTGTAAACAGATCTTGTTTTTGATTCTTCAGCAGGGTGATCAAATTGAAGGCTTGTTGTCAGCTGGATGGACAAATGAGCGGCACAGCTCGTACATGAGCTCCATGGAGGCTTCTTTCGTGGAGCAACTTTATGTCCAAGAGAACTGCAACTATGATGCTAATAAGAACAATCTCCGCAATATCGCTATAAACAGCCTCCCTGAGAATCCATGGGTAAGGCGTTTCAAGCCACGTGGTGCCTGTGTGAATCACCGTGCTAATGGGATGGAACCTATTGTTGATGATTATGGGTCAGGTACTGACACGGCCCGAGAGAAGGTCTGGACCCATGCAGGAGTAGTCAAGACTTCTGTTATTATTGGTAAAAGCAAATGTCACTACCTTGTCTTTCCTTTCTTGCAAAATGTGTCCTCTATATGTTTCACTTTGTTCGAACCTATTTTGGTAGTACTTTAATAAATAGTGAGTATGCAATAAAATCAATGCAATTTTGCATGCAGAGTCACAGATAGTTAGTACAATCAGTCAAAAAAATAATAAACCATAGGACACTAATTTGTACTTGTTGAATATGACACTTGAAATAACACCAAGATAGGTGCGTGACCAGGGTCGCCTCTGGGTGATGGGCGCTAGGCTCATTTCTAGGACATTGAGCAGGGATGTGCTGTTTTTATCTAGTTTAAAGAGTGCGAGTGTTTAAAAAAACTAACGGAAGCCACGGAATTGTCACCTAATCCGACCGTCTTTTCTACCTATCAATGAAAATGATATGCAGTCCTCCTGTGTGCTCGAGAAAAAAAAACACCAAGGTTGAAGTAGCTATTGTGTTAACTTTCTGAATTATGTTATTTGATCATATGGTTGATCATTGGGTCATTCCAAGTTGCATGACCAAAACAGATCATCAAGTTGCAGTTATACACATGAAATTGCATGTTGGGCACTATCGTTTTTCCCCATATTATCCCATCCGTCAACACTTGCTGTTGTCATCCAGCTCTACTTATCAGAACTGAGGGACATAATGTAACAGACATTTCATTTTTACCCTTTCCCAGAAGTCACGGATCAGAATTTTCCTGATGACAGGATTGAATCCAGTAACGATCCATGCAAGAAACAGAAGTCTACTTCTGGCACTGCATCAAATGAGCGGGTGTAGCACCTGGTTTTAAAGACAAAACCTTCAGAAAGTTAACACAATATATGTGAGCCCAGGAAGTTAAATCTCACATATACCCACAAAATAAGGGTAATATCAAAAGACAATACTTATTACCGACTGCGATTTAACGCTCGAAGCCAATCATCACCGAATAAAAAAAAAACGCGTTCAAAACCTTCCGGGCCGCCGCTGTGCCGTTAGACGTTGAAACATTCCGATCGCCCGCGCCCACGCCCACACCCTTAGTGGAGAGGAGGAAGCCGCGGTGCCTGTACGCGCCCACGCCCTTCGCGGAGGGGAGGAGGAAGCCGCAGCGCGGGGCAGCCGTCGGCCTCCGGGGAGGCGTCGTCGTCTTCGGCCGCGGCAACACGGGAGGCTACTGCCGCCGCCGCTGTCGCGTGCGCCCCGCCGGCTGCGCCTCCGCCGGCCGCTGCTGCCTGGTCACGCAGGCGGGCGTAGAGCCGCGCGGGGCCACGCGTACTGGCGTGGGCCGCACAGGCGCAAGGTCATGCAGGCGTGCGCGGAGGCAACGGGGCCGCGGCAGCGCTCGAGGACGCGTGGAGACGCGGAGGCATGTGGGGGCCAGGACCGCAGGGCCGCAGGACTTGCGGGACGCACGATTCGCTAGGCCCAATGATGGCAGGACTCGCCGCCCTCGCCGCCCCGCTCCAGGATGCATGGCGGTGGCCCTCGCCAGGCCGCGCGGAGCTGCGCTCGACGCCCTGCCCCAGGCGCACGACGGCGGCCCTAGCCAGGCTGCCCGGAGTCGAGCTCGAAGCCCTGACCTAGGCCACGCGGCGGCGGTCCTCACCAAGTTGCTTGGAGCTGCACTCGCTGGCCCGCCCCGTGCTACGCAGCGGTGCCCTCACGACCTCACTGGATCGTTGTGCTCCGCCACCTGCAGGTTCTTCCCTCTTCCTTCCCTGAGCCCCTTCTGATTCATAATCCAATACTGGTTCCTAATCCAATAGGCTTTGTGTTCTGCCATGGATTTGTACTCCCTGAAGATGTTGGAAAGCGTCCTTTTTTTAAGCCCTGAAGATGTTTGACAAATGGCATAGTTGAATGGCGCACTCATGGTCAAGCAATGCATCTGCACCAAGGTACCTGGCAACAACAGAATTCTTTGATTCTTGTCAATTTAAGCTCAAAGAAACTGTGCTACATTTGTGAGTGGATGCTTGTGGCACTTTGACCACACACTCCTTGTATCTGTAACCAGCTTGCCAAATTCCATCCCATGATTGTACAATGTCTGGTCCGCTCTTTTAAAAGTTACTTCAAGCTCGGCTTCCTTCACCAAATGTAGCTGGATACCATAGCTTATATTTCTGTTTCAGGGAAAACAGAGAACTGACTCTTCAGCAAATTGCTGTGCGCCTACAGTCTATAATATGCATTGATGAAGTACTAATGTTCTAATGATGCCCTTTTCAGATGTGATCTAGTTGTCTAATCTGCATTGATAAACTAATGATATTATACTTTGCCCTTTCAGGTGTCATCACCAGGGAATTAGTTACAATCTAATCTGCATTTCTAGGATGCTTCTCAAGGTCAGTATACCCATGCATCAAATATATTGAATATAACGAATTTTGCAAAATTAGAGATATAGCTATGACGGGACCCTATCAACAACAGAGAAGATTACCATATTTCGTCACTTCCATGTTTCGTTGTCAATCATTAGACTACGAATTTGATAATGATGAGTTTCATGCAACTGTTCATGGTACCTTGCCATATCACAATCTGAGGCCTGACCTTGTTTTGAGGACCCTCCTACTTTCAATTCCATAGATAAAAATAGTATGAAAAGCAACCAGTTTTTTCTATTTTCTTGCTGTATTCTGAAATGATATGTTTGGAAAAATGGTCACGGAGAGCATTTGTATCAACCTACATTTGGTTACTGTAGGTATTCATAAATTCTGACAAAGCTCATGTGGAGGAAGCTCTGCACAGACTGGGTTTACAGGGTTTACTGTGTTCACAAATTACTAGGACATGGCAGTGAGTATTCTTTTCTCTTCTCTATGTGCAAGATGGTAACATTGAAAGAGCTAGGACTTCAACATAGCACTATGGACAATGGAGCCAGTATTTTCTTTTCCATTCTTCATCCATATGCGAGAGTTACACATATTTTAGTTTAAGAGTATAATGTTTGGTGTAGGTTTTCTAATGTGCGTCCTTAAATGATGCAAGCCAAATTTAGATCCCCTTATAATATTCAATTATTAAGCCATTGCTGACATGGAGCATAGTAGAGCTTCCTCGTCCTCTGTTCTTTGTTTGACGCGCTTTAGGAGCTCCTTTTCTGTCTCTGATAGATGTAGCGTCGAGCCATTTGCTATCAAAATCATTGAATGCTACATCACCAAATTATATTTTTCCAGATGCCAAGATTTATGGTTTTTAAAAAATTAGGCAAAGAATAATTTATGTTTTCAGACTTAGGGCAGGAGCTCTGCCTAATCAATTCAATGAGAAGGGAGACTAAAGATTAATTATATTTGAGTTTCACTAGATGGAAAAGAAAAAAAAAGCATCGTCAATCTAAATCCCCTGCAGGATAATACTATTTGAGTTTTTGGCACTTTCTTGCATATAGGATTAGTACTGTTGCACTGGCATGAAATTTTACAAGTTTATTTTCCCTAGCCTGTCCAATTGCACTGCACTCTTTTGTCATTTCTTTAGAATGGATTTTGTTGGTTGCTTTGAGTAGAGGGCTTATCTAGCTAAGATGTGCTTCTCTGCTAGCTCTTTTTCGGGTGTCATATTTTGGTGCATGATTTATGGCAGTGGTTATTGAATGAATATATGCTGATGCAATGCTTCCTAGAGTTTCCTATTTGAAAAGGATGCAGTGTATTTCTTTTACATCAATCAATTTATGTATATTGTGATTGTGATACACTTATCCTTAATCCTTCGTTCTATCTGACCTACTCAGGTTTGGAGTTCAGTCATTATCCATGGGAAATCGGATGGATTGCATCTCCAAAATAAAAACTTTGGTAAGCCTGCATGGTATGTGATGTACTTCTTCCCTGATTTAGTATGTGCTCATCTTCATCTCACTTTCAACAATCGTCCCTCCAAATGTTTTGATTTTTCAAAAATTTCAGGGGTTATTCTTGTCTAGAAATACCAGCAAATTGATTTCAACTGGAAAGAAGTTGAAGATTGTATCAGCTATGACCTCCATACAATTTAAGGTGCAACCAATCTCTTTTACTTCATAAATAAATAGAAAAGAAGCAATACTCAGATTATTGTTTGTCAACAATGCAGCATCGAGCCATCAACGAACAACTTCAGTGTATTAATTGCTTGAAATCTCGGGCATTCGAAAATATGGTCCGTAGCGTTAGCACGGGTAATATACTATTATTTGTCTTAGAGTTTAGCTATAAACAATTGCTAATACTAATCTAATCATTATACACTACTGAAAATGATTTTTAGACTGATACATAATTTTTAGGACTACACTACTTGATTTATGGTGGAGGCGGGCGCCTGCTGGATGCCCGGCCTGCAGCACCAGGATCGCCGCTGCCATTGCTTGTTCTTTGCGAGTTTTACTGGTGGGTACGATTTATGAATGACAGGTGTCAGGAGCTGTTACGACGAGGAAATTAATAATTTAGCTTATTATTTGCCATGTACTGCTATCAACTTCACTGAGGATGAAATTCTTGGTGGACATTTTGAAGAGCCGTGCAAACGAATGTTTTGATAGCTTTCCTAAGGATCTCCAAGTCATGATTAAGGACTTAGGCAGAATGTAACTTAGATGGTTAATACGAGAAATAACTTTACTATGTCTTATGCAAAAGTGTTTCTTGGATTGTAAACATGCTCAAATACAATTGTGTAAAAGTTGAACTATGGAAAAAAATCACTGGTTGTTTTTATATGGATCCCCAAGATAAAGCCATGTCGTTAGCACGGGCATTATAATAGTTAGTATAAGGAATATAACCTCATAGTATAGACAGCGAAAAGACAACTTCAATCTTCAGGCGAAGACTCCAAATCCACAGGGACAACTGACTGGTTGTCCACAAGCCTAACTCCTCCAGACTAGCAATCTGGTACCCATCCGGGATTTTTATCCAAAGTATAGAAAAGTAAAGCAAGCGTAAGTACATATCGTACTCAGCAATATAACATGGGGTTCATGAGGCTCAAAAAGTTGACACTAGTTTACTGCGATTAGCTTTTAATAGGTCATTTTTTAAGCAATTGTGTAGCAACGAATCTATCATAAGTCTATAAACACATGATCAGGTAAACATGAATAATGGATAGCATAAACAATTAACCATTAGTTATCATTTATATTCCATAAGGGTTCCAAGGCCGCTCGTGTTCGTGAGCACGGCTGTTACAGTTTTACACTCTACAGAGGTTGTATACTTTCACTGTGAGTCGTGATTTACCTTTTCGCTCAGGGTGATCAGCCCCTTGACCCACTACCAAGGAAGGTCGGCAGGGTTCACTATGAAGCCTTTCAAAGGTTTGTCTAACAAGTTAGGGCTGCTAAGGTTTCCCCATCAACAAGCATAAACTCCACCTCTAAGGAGTGACTAACAAAGTGCACCCACTTGGCAGGCCGAGATCATACCTGTCAGAGCTCCTCTTGCGCCATAAAGGTAACCACTAACAAGCTAGAAAAGGTCCTCATACTGAGCTAAAGCCAAAGCCATATAGCTCTCACAGTTGTACTATAAGTCCTAGATGATAACTTATAGATAAGTCCTTAGGGAAAGGAATCTAGAGCATTTCGAAAGTAGCTAAACACTCTAGCCCCCTGTTTCCATGTTGCTAAAATGTCATGTTTTAGTGTTTATTGCATATTCTATTAGTCAAGTTACAAGATCATGGTTATTCATCTTGAAATTCTCCTTGAATTTCTGCCAGATGATCTGTCCAGCATTGTTGGGATGTCCATACTTGTAGGTCTCCCACTAGTCTTGTGTTGCACCCTAAAGTTGGCCAGCTGCAAAAAGCACCTTCTCCTGGTCATCACAATGGGCTATGTCCAGTTGTCGCTCCACAACTCTAAGCCATTCATCAGCTTCTAGTGGGTCGCTTGCATGAGAGAATGTCGGTGGGTGTCCCTTCATAAATTCACTGCGCTTATCAATAGGTGGTGCTTTATGCGAGTTGTTCAACACACTTTGGGCAATATTCTGTAATAACTGAGTCTGCGTCATCAAAGCTTGCTCTATAGTTGGGGGACTTGATGGCGATGGATTAGAAGTGGGAACATTCCTTCCAACATCTTGTAAAGCACTTCTCCTGGTAGAGGCCATCTGTTTCCAACATATATGCATTGGGATTCAGTCACTCATAGCATTCTCTACTGTAGTTTTAAGAGATGACAAGATAGGGTTGATAGTATGAAAGACTAGAGAAAAACCTAACCATTGAGATATCCAATTCTTCCTCATGAACACTGGAATGCAAAAAAACTTCATCTTGCAAACCCTTCAACTTGGCTACCCCCCTTAAGATAAGTCAACTAGGGCACACAAAAGGGTATCTTGCACTTCCTTATAAATGAGCTTACCAACATAAAGATGTTCTGACATTCTAGAGAAACTCCTCTACATAAGCAAGGACATCTAGTCTGAGAATTCTCAAGAACAGGGAAAATAGTAGTGCAATAAAACAGTTATAACTCTCAATCCGTTAATCCAATAGAGTTTTAGCTCATACCATTGGAAAGCTCATCAATTCCTCTATAACATCCTTATAGAACGTTTTTCTATATTTCACAGTTCAGTTGGTCGAAAACAGTGCACAAGAGAAACAGCTCCAAGTTCCAAACAGCACAGATGTGTTGCCTTGAGATTTTCATATCTCCATAACCAAAATAGCTATCAGGCTGATTTTTGTGTTCAGAGAAAGATATTGGAGTCTACTGTTGTTCAGAATTTGCTCATGATTTTTGGTCATCTAAGATTAGAGATATAAGCCGAAGAGTGCATGCTGCTCCGAAAAGACAGGATAGAGGAAACAGAAGAATACCATAAGCCAACTATTTATTGTACTAATCATTATACCTTAGGCCTATAAACTAAATGAAATTGTGGGAACACCAAACAAGATCATTGCAATCATTACAAAGATACAAAGCAAGCATAAACATAATGACAGATCAACAATGCACTAAAGATGCACCACTCAATCATTGACTCAACTTGCGATACTATCGTTTTTATTACATAAAGGGCACAACTTCCTATTCCTTAACTAAGGATCTTGGGTAGTCTAGCACGACTTCTTCATTCGACAGTTTCACCAAATGCTTCTTTCGGGTTGGGTATCACTGACACTTCCTGGTGGCAGTCCGGTGGTGATTTGACTCTGGCTACTTTCATGGTGTAATTGTTGATTCTTCTGTGGGCAAGATTTAACATAGCGTCCTTCCTGTTGGCAATGATGACACCTTCTCTTAGCTAGATCTTTTGCGATGTCATACTCGACGGAATTGTCTCTTGGTGTTTTGTCAGCTTTTTGACTCTGAAGATTCATCTTGGTTTGACTGATCTGTTTTCTAGCTTGCTTGGTCTTTCGAGGTTGAAACTCCTTATAGGTGATAGTCCACCCATCTATGCATACCTCATGTGAAGTAGTTTTAGCTTGAGAAGCTTCCAACTCTTTACAGTTTAGATTCATCTGCCTAGGGATCAGAGCTTGATGTGACAAATCCAAATGTTGATTGCTTCCCAATACTTGCTCTATTGAGACCTCCTTTCTCTTCTTATCCACATTAGTTT